CAGAAGATTCATCTGACCTGCACCTTTTAGATGCCACTCCAGGGGGCAAGCGTGAAGCAGCAGAAACTCCTTAGGAAACATTCAGCCGTCCAAGAGAAACGGGAACAGAGCAGAGGAGGTGGTGAGAGTGCCTCTGAGACTTGCTGAGGGGTTGGATGTGGAACTTCTGAGAAAGAGGACACAGGGATAACTCCACAGTGTGGTTCCGAGTTACCGTGGAAGTCGGAAAGGAAGTGGACAACTTCTGAGATCAGGAAATCTGAATCTTGATTTGGGTGCCTACCTGTGCCCAGCAAACAGAAAGAACCCAGTGGTAATGCCAGGGGCAAACCCCCATTCTGCCTCCCCCAGCCCATCCCGCCCCACCAATTGCCGTCACCAGCAGGTGGCGCTATGGAGCAAGCCTGACACCCGGAGTCAGAAAACCTGGATCCGAGTTCTGGCTCCCCCAATGAGCAGAGGGGAGCAAAGTGGGTACTGCAGAGAAATGATCCCCTTGTCACCAACAGCACCGCTGTCCATCTTCCATGCCTCCTTGTGTCCCCACAGGCTAGCCTCAAGAATGGCAGGGACTCTCAGACCAACTCTCAGCTCGATTTTCAATTTATTATCTATACCCAGCTCCTTTCCAAAGATACTTGAGGTGTCTTTCAAAAACACACACAAAGGAGCGAAAAAGGAAGGGAAGACAACTAAGAAGAGGAAACAGATAAATAATTCTAGAAAAAACGGAGCTGTCATGACTGGGCACCATGGCAACAAACAAGACAAAATGGAAAGGCCAGCTGTTGCTGCATAACAAATCTCCCCAACATCTAGAAGCTGAAAACATCATTTGTCACTCCTCACAAATCTCAGGCTGGGCTGCACAGTTCTGCTTGTCTGAGCCAGGGTTAGCTGATCTTGGCTGGGCTCATGTGTGCATCTGGAGACCAATGGCAGGCCGCTGGGTGCTGGCTGCTCTGAGATGGCCTTAACTGGGACACCTTGGCTGGGTTCTACATGGCCTCTCATCCAGCAGCAGGCCAGTGCAGGCTTGTGCACATGGTGATAGCAGGGGTCCGGGAAAGCAGAAGCTGTCAGGCCCCTTGGAAAGCCTCTTCCTCTAGGCTTAGAACTGGCACACCAGCACTGCTGCTATGTTGCACTGGCTGAAGCAAGCCACAAGGCCAGACCAGATTTTAGGGGCAGGCAATGGACTTCACTTCTTATTGGGAAGAGTGAAGGTTATTGCCATTTTTGCAACTTACCACCATGATAAATTGTGGAGCTCTAATGATCAAAGAAGAATAAATATGGCAGTTTCTTGGAGCAAAATCGTCCCCCTTGACCAACTCAGAGAAACGTTCCCAAGGGCAGACACCACACTGGCCTCATTTTCTTCATAACAGTGATCATCCATTGAGTACTTACTGTATGCCAGACCCTAGGCGTCCTCTACATTCATGTGCTTCCAAGAGCACAGGAGGCACAGCACAGCTCTTCATCATGAGTTTAGCTGGTACACAGATAAACAGTTATGATGTCGTCTTCTTTGTTTTTTCTTATTGTTTTGCATTTGTGATAAGTGATATCAATTTTCCTCTAACGCTAATAATATAAAAATTTCCTTTTGAAATAGATCAAGTCTTTCGACATGGATTCATTTAAGAATACATTAATTAAATAAATAACGAGGGCGGGTGTGGTGGCTTATGTCTGTAATCCCAACAGTTTGGGAGGCCAAGATGGGAGGATGGCTTGAGGCCAGGAGTTTCAGACCAGCCTAGGCAACATAACAAGACCTCATCTCTACATAAATAAAGAAGTCAGCCAGGTGTGGTAGTGTGCACCTATAGTACTAGAGGCTAAGGTGAGAGGATCCCTTGAGCCCAGGAGTTTGAGGATGTAGTGAAGTATGGATAACACCTCTGCACTCCAGCCTGGGAAACAGAATGAGACCCTCCACCTCTAAAAATAAAATAAACGTAAGGGTACAGGTGGCATGTGGTCATAGCAAAACTCATGAGGCCGCAGACCACACACTGAAATCTGGAAAACACACTGAATTATCTCTGTTCATCCCTGAGAGATACGTATTGTTTTTCGTTTTGCAGATAGGGAAACTGAGGACAGATGGGGCCCCCAGAGGCACAGACTCAGGATCGTGCCAGATGTGCAGCTCTGTCTGAAAAAGCCCTGAGTGAACGTTCCCAGGTGGCTTGTAATAGGAAGCTTGGCACATGGCAGAGGCCCATAGTGGCATCTGTCACCTAATGAGACCCCCGGGGCTTCCAGGGTGCCCCCACCACTGCTACTTCTGGGCTTCTGAGCATAATGAGGATGGCAGGCTGGAGCCCTCACAAGGCACACTTTCAGAATCTGCATCAAATGGAATTTGAATCGGAAAGTCCCCTGGAGACCCAAGGGAGGCATCAGGCTGAAATCTCCAGTAGAGGTAGGTGGCAGGCATGGCGCATGTTAGCTGAAATCACTCTGCACCTGAGAGGCCACACACACACGGTGGCACTGAATAAATTAGGAGAAAATAGACCTGCTTCTCGGAAAGGGTAGTGGAAGGCCTCTGTGCTCCCAGTGCTGTTGTGAGTGCATTCTTTCCTCAGGTTCCAATGAAAGCATGTCCCGTGGGGCCCATCCTGAAGCCAATGGGCTGGGTCCAGCGAGGGGCAGAGGAGGTCAGGAGGGAGGTGAGAAAGCTAGCAGAGCCCTTCCTTGCTGCACACTCCAAGCTCTGGGCCTCACAAGCATCCGAGCACTCGTTCAGGGTCCCTGTAAAACAGATCAACATTCTGAACTGAATTGTACCCCCCATACTTCATAGGTTGAAGTCCTAACCCTCAGGACCTCAGAAGGTGGCTGTATTTGGAGATAAGGCCTTTAAAGAAGTAATTCAGGTTAAATGAGGTCATTGGGGTGGGCCCTAATCCAATCTGACAAGCATCCTTAGAAGAAAAGGAGATTAGGACACAGACACTCAGACAGAGGGATGACCATGTGAGGTCACAGTGAGAAGACAGCCATCTGCAAGCCTAGGAAAGAAGCCTCAGAGGAAACCACCCCTGTTGATTCCTCCATCTCAGACTTCCAGCCTCCAGGACTCTGAGAACACGCATTTCTGTCCTAAGCCACCCAGGCTGTGGCATTTTGTTGTGGCAGCCCCTGCAGACCAACAACAAGCAGTGAGCGCTCTTGGCGGCTGCTATGGTGTTTACATCACTTAGAAGTTCTTCTTGGTGTCTAGATCTTTCTCTCCTTCTCTTCTTTCTACATGCCCTAGCTGGGGGATCAAAGAAAACCCGTATTTCATGGGGCATTCATGCCAGAGCATGCTCCAAGCAGGAAGTGCCCTGTGAATATTTCCAAAGTGAAGGAGTACCCAGGGAGAGAGCTGGGGGTGCTGGGTGGGGCCAAGAGTAGGGTGGGAAGGTGATTTCTGCCTGAGGAGCAGGACACACAGCAGACCAGAGCCTTCCTCTATTCGTGCATTCACTTACTCATGTGTTCATTCACTTATTCATGTGTTCATTCATTCACTTGATGGATTAGCCCTGATCCCACCTTCAGGGAATTAGGGGAAGGCTACTGTGTTCACCCTCCCCAGCCCACCCAGTGGGGTGTGGCTCTGTGGGCAAGGAGTGAAGCCAGAGGGTCAATAGCCTGGCTTTGAAGTGTGAACCTGCCTTTATAGGTTGTGTGGCACTGGTGAACCCCGAAACATCTGGAACCCTAGTTTCCTCACCTGCCAGATGAGAATAATAATCAAATCTACCTTGTAGAGATTTTTGAGGACTAAATGAGATGACACAAGTAACCTGCTCAGAACAGAATGTGGCACATGGCCAGTACTCAAAAGTCAAGGTCACAGTTTATTGCTATTAATATTACTCCCATTCCCTGTCCTGAGAGATCCCAGCCTGTGCCCGATCTTCATATGGTCTCATGCTCACTTCATCCCCCAGGGCCCTTGCTCAAGCTGTTTCCAACACTCCACTGCACCCCATTGCACCCCCAGTCCTCCTTGCCTGAGGCCAGCCTACTTCTCACCTCCTCCAGGATCACCACCTCCCATGCAGCCATGCTCCAACCTTCTGCATCTGCAGTGCTGCCACTTAGCACTACTTGGGGTCCTCATCTCTACCCGGCACTGGGATGCTTTCTGGTCAGAACCTAAGCCCTCCGCTTTCTCATACCCTCCTCCAGCCTTACCTAGGTGCACTTCCTGGCTGTTCCATGGAATTTGTCCCAGAAATCAGCTCCAAACTTCATTCTCTAAAGCAGTGGCTCCCAACTGGGGCTGCTTTTGCCCCCTCGTCCCTGACTGAGGGGGCATTTGGCAACGTCTGGAGACGTTTTTGGTTGTTACAGAGTGGGGGTGGCAGGGGTGCTACTGTCATCTAGTGAGTAGAGGCCAAAGAGGCTGCTAACCTCCTACCATGAATAGGGTCTCCCACAGTAAACACCCACTCAGAATGTTCATAGTGCCCCAAGGTAGAGAAGCCCTGCTCTCAGGAGGCACCTGCTCTCCTTCAGAAAGGGTGAGCCCTGGGGTTCCGGGTAATTCGATTCTCAGGACAACGCACATCCTGGCTGGGAGGGCCTCCACGCGCGGCAGCCTCCAGCACCTGGAGCTGTCTGCCCCTGACGCGGAGCCCTCCCTCGCCCGCCCCTTGTCACAGCATCCGCGGATCCCTGAGGATTTGTATGAAGCAATTGACCTGTGACTAAGGCCAGCTGAGCTCGCCTTGTTCCCGCAGGGCGGGGACAATACCCCCATTAACTGGGAGGCAAGGTCCCGGCACAGCAGCGCAGAGCATAGATTGGGGAGGGGCGTGGAGGGGGGCGGGGAGAAAAAGGGCAGCTCCAGAGCCATCCTAGGTGGGGGGCGGGAGTCCTTAGTACTAATGGTTATAATTAGCACAACATGAATATCAGCATCTCCTCCTAGATGCCTAGTACATGAGGGCTCATGCTTATTTACATCCCTGATAAGATGCCTCCACCTGCCAATCTCAGGGGTATAGCCCTTGTTCCCACTTAATATAAGAGGAAACTGACAGAAATCCCAGACGATTTACCCAAGGTCACCCAGCTGGTAGATGGAGAAGTAGAGGCAGGAACTCGGATTATCTGAATTGTGGTTTGTATTAAGCACTCATTCTGTGCCAGGCGCAGTGAAAGTACCAGATGGGGAGTTTGTAAACTGGGCAAAGGAGGGTCCCGGAACCTCAGAACCTGATGAAACCCTGGCCCGTCTACTCTGAGCGTCAGCCCCACCCACAGTGCAGAAGAGGCCCCTTTCTACCACCAGGCTCCACCCCCAGAGCCATTGATTGGACTGTGCAGAAGGGGTGGGGCCCTCCAAGCCGAGATAAGCCAATCAGAACCTCTCTTCAAGGAACTGGAAATTAGAACAGTGTTTGGGCCAGATAGATGGTGGTGGGCGGGGGAGGAAAGGTTTTGAGGGAGCAGCACCCTTGCCTGATGGGTGCCCAAAGCTAGGGGCAGGTGGAGGTGAGAAAAGGACAAGCTCTGCAAACGTTGCGGAAGCGTTCTGTCCGTGGAGAAGGCATGGGACTTTCACGTGGAGAGCAGCTTACTCCTGCTGAGAACTTTGGGGAGACAGAGGGGAGCAACCATCTCAGACCTGAGCGGCTAAGGAGCTGAGTCCCCCTCTGTCACACTGTGCAGATCTGCTGGACTTTGCAGTAAGCAGCCTTCAGGTCTAAAGGTGAGTGCCCAGGGGATATGGGCGGGGCACTGATGGGGTGAGCTACACCAGATTTTTAGCCAGATCATTGGGAAAATGCTCATGCCATCTTCTGAGACACAACTTCCTGCTCAATTCCCTTCTAGGGCTTCCCAACACGTTTAGAATAAAATACCAGGAGATTATCCTGGTCTAGAAGGCCTTACAGGATCAGGCTCCAACTTTTGCACCAACCTAACACGCAACTGTTCCTCTCTACATTCAAGCCTCTGCTCAAATGTCGCGTGATTAGTGAGTTCTTCACTGTATATCCTCCTTACGGTAGACCCCTCCTCTCATCTCTCTTCCTGTCCACCTCATCCTGCTATCTTGCTATATATCCTGCTATAATTGATAATATATATTTACTTGCTTATCTCATTTTGTTTGGCCTGTGCCTGGCATATGCTAGTTAATAAATACAGTATTGGTTAGGGAGGGAGCGAAGGTTCAGCTGCTTGGATTTAAATCTTGGCTCTGCCACGTATCAGCTGAATGACCTTGGAAGTCTTCACTCTCTGTGTCTCAGCTTCCTCGTCTGTAGGACAGGAATAAATAAGAAAGCAATGATAATAATATCTATCTCATGGCATTGTTGTGGGAATCAGGTGAAATCATGTATGTACAATGCCTGGCACATATTCGAGAGTTTAACAAATGCTAACTGTGTTTATCCTTGGACCCCAATTACCCCATCTGTGAAATGGGGTTCTTGTAAGAATTAAATGAAATAATGAATGTAAAGTGCTTTGCATGTAGTGCACCCTCTATAAAAATTTGTGGTTATTTTTCATTAATACACACACACACACACACACACACACACACACACTCTGTCCATAAAGGCTATCCATTTGTGCCTTCCCCAAGCAGAGTTCCTGTAAGGCAGAATTAGCATGGATCTAAGTAAAACCTTGAAATCAATGGTGAAGGAAGACAGCTCCAGCTTAGCAACTTCCACACTCATTGCCTCTGAGCTGATGCCAACACAGCTTTCCCTTCTTGTGCACTCTGGGAGCTTTCCCTTCCTGTGCACTCTGCAGCTCCAATAGGCAGCCTGGCGTCCCTACAAAACGGTCCCACACAAGCATCGGAACCCCGGCTGCTCCCCCTCCAGAGCCCAGACCACCAGGCTGAGCAGCAACCGCGCCTCTGTGCAATGTTGCTCCTTATTAGGCATCATTAGGTACACAGTAATTATAATAATTATGTGCACTGCTTAGGCGACCATCCTCAGTAACAACCACTGCTATTCAGAAGTCATAATTGCTGCATCGAGACTTAAAATGAAGGCTAATTAGATGTCAGTTGCTACCCCCTCAACTCACAGCCTCCTACATAATCTCTATATCCAAAATGCCCCATGACCACCAGCTATCCTTGATTAATCTGCAGACCCCAAAACAAACAATTTGGTCCACAGGAGAGCGTGGATATGCCAGCGGGATTAAGAGGGAACATGTGGATGCTTGGAGGGTACTTGCAGGGTGTTGCATCATTTCAAAAGAAAAGAATTTGGGATCAGAGGTGGCTGAAAAACTCAGGCTGAGAGTCAAGAGATGGGGTCTAAGTTCTGGTTCTGTCAGGGTCTTGATGTGGTGTTGAACAGATCACCTTTTTCTCCATCTGCAAAGTTGGAGGAATGGACCAAGGGATGCGCTGCAGGGGCCACTTTGTAAAGTATCAAGTGATACTTTATAAGGCAGCAATAAACAAAACAGATGCAAGCAGAGCCTTTGATTAAGGCAAAACAAGAAGTCTGGAGACTCCCTGTCCTTATCCTATCTGCCAGCACCCTCTGAAATAACTCTGCAAAACCTTGGGTTTCCTGGGAGACAGATTGGAAACTGCTGGTGCCTGTGCTCTCTGAAGCACTGGTTCTCAAAGTTGGCCCCACATTGGAATCACCTGGGCAGATTTTAAAACGGCTGATGACCAGGTTTCACTCCAGAAGTTGTTTTCTTTGGTCTGGGCTGCGACCTGGTCATCAGGGTTTTTTAAATTCTTCCTGATGATCCAAAAACGCAGCCAGGCTTGAGAAGCCCTGCTCTACATGCCCTGACACCTGAACATTGAAAGTATTTACGATTCTGCTCGGCCTAGTACAAGGCTTCCCCTCTCTGGGCCTCAGTTTCCCCATTTTCTAAAATGAAAGCATATACACAGTGGCCTCTAAGGACCTCTGGTTTTAAGTTTCCTTCAAACTGGGATTAATCTAGAGCTTGGCACCCTGAGAGTGCTGAAGTGTGAGGGAAGCCAAGGCAGTTTGGGTCCACTTTTCTCTTCCAAATAATATTTGTGTCTACTCCTATATGTGCAGGCCTGTCCTCAATGCTGCAGAATAAAAATCACAAGAAGTCAGCTAAACGCTCTTTGCCCTAAGGAACTAACAGGGAATTGTATGTTGGAAATGAAAGGATTAAATAGCAACACACACATGCACACGTGCGCACACACACACACGGGCTCATCAAAGCCACCTACAGAAATGCTTTAAGGACTGGAGACAATACACAGAAGTTGTTATCAAGGTTCCTGGCCCACGAAAAATTCCCAGTAAATGACAATTTTTGTTATCGTTGTACACAAATCCAGCATTCTCTTGGGTATGCTGGGTAAAACACTGTCTTCTGTATTCTGTAATAGCAGCACAAATGAACTAAGACACCTTCCTAGCCTATAAATGCCCCAGAAAGCTTCTAATGCTGTTCAGCACAAGGGTACAAATGAGCTTCTCTTACCATGAAGCCTCATCTTTCAAATGCTGCCACTACTTGCATGAGCTACAGTCAAGCTCTGCAGGGCCAGGAAGAAAAATAGCAGATAATTCCTAGACAGCACCTACTATGTGCTAGACCCTGTTCTAAGCATCACATATGTATTATCTCATTTAGCTTTCAGTATGACCCCATCAGTTGGGTACTACTATTATCCTCATTTTGCAAGTGATTAAACTGAGTCATGGGGAAATTAGGCAAGTTGTACTGTTCACATAGCTGGAAAGTGGTAGGAAGCACATTGTAGAAGACTTTTCCCTTTCCCAAGTTCTTCCCTTGGGCATTTCACCAGCCTGAATGACTCCAGGTTTTCAAGGCAGGGCATTAGAGTATGGGGGGTATGTGTTAATATGGGACCCTGAAGTTTCTGTTGGGACACACTCCCTGAAGATCCTTGACCAATAGATGTGCTATGGATATACACAGTGAGCCTCTGCAAGCCTAGTTGAGAGCTGCTGCTGAAGGCTGAGAGCTGAATGGTGATATCAGAGGCTACAAAGTGTAGGGGGTTCTGGCCTAGCCAGAATGAAGAAACCCTCGCTGAACACCTCAGTCATTCAGCTGAGCAATCAGAAAGTCTATGCATAAAAGGTAAGGACCACATCCTAGAGTAAGAACGGTGTCCTAACACTAAGGACAAAACCTAAATCGATGTACTCTAACAAAAAAATAAAATGCAGCTCAATAAAATCAAAACACTCTACCAGTAAATTAACTGCCTTCCATAACAAAATCAACACCATTTAAAGGATAACAACAAAATTCAGAATATCCAGAACACAATAAAAATTACTACACATGCAAAAAAGTAGGCAAAAGTGACCCAAAATCAACAAAAAAAAAGACAACCTTGAGAGGTTCAGAAGTTGGAATTAACATCCAAGGACTTGAAAACAGCTATTATAAATATGTTTAACAATTTAAACGAAAACATGGACATGATGAATGACAAATAAGGACTCAAATACAAACTGCAAAAGAACCAAATGAAATTCTAGAACTAAGAAACATAATATAATGAAATGAAATATTCAGTAAAATTAGTGAATATTTAGAATCATATTAGATATTGTAGAAAAAGTCAATGAACTTGAGGCTAGATCAGTGAAAATATCCAATTTGAAGAACAGAAAGAAAACACTTAAAAAATTAACAGAGACTTATCAACTGGGATAATATTAAGTAGTTTACTGAATAGTTAGACACATGCTATTGGAGTCCCAGAGTGATGAGAAAGAATAGGACAGGAAAAATGGTTGAAGGATTATTTCCCAAATTTCATGAAAAGCATCTGCTGAAAGATCCAAGAACTCAGCAGACCCCAAGAGTAAATACAATGAATATTTTTAGAGGACATATTTTAAGATGGTGAATGAAAAAAAAATAATATATATGTGTATATATATATATTCAGAATTGTATATCTAGCAAAAATATTGCTCTAAATAAGGGTGAAATAGACATTTTCAGATAAACAAAAGCTGAGAGAATTCATTGTCAACAGACTTGCAACACACACACACACACACAAACACACACACAAATGCTTTTAAACATAATTTAGGCTTGGGGATAATTAAATCAGATGGAAATTCAGTTCTTGAGGAAAAAATAAAGAGCACTGGAAATAGTAAATAAGTGGCCAAGCATAAATGATTATCTTTTCCTCTCTTTAGTTTTGTAACAGACAACTGACTATTTAAAACAAAAATAATAGCATTGTTTTGTGGAATTATAACATATGTAGAAATAGTATATATGAAAACAGCAGGAAGAACATGAAAGATAAATGGAATTGTAGTTTTATAGGGTTTCACTTAAATTTAAAGTGAATCATAGTTAAAATTTCACTTAAATCTTAAGTGAATTTATAGAGTATTAATTCTAATAGGCTATGATGAGTAGGATAGCTAAAAATAGAGAGCTAAAAAGAGAATAAACAAAATAAAATAAAATAGAATATAAAAGTGTGCTGTATGCCCAAAATGAAGCAGAAAGGGAAGACAGAAGGAAAAAATTAGTGAAATAGAAAACAAATATAAGATAATAGGTTTAAACCCAGTCATAGCAATAATTACTTTAAGTGTAAATGCTTTAAACACTGCAATTAAAAGACAGCTGTTGTCACTCTGAATCAGACAAACAAGACCAACTCTATTCCTACAAAAGAAATATTTTAAATATTAATACAACAATTAAAAGGAA